CGGCGCGCGGGCGGCTCCCCGCSGACAGGGCTCGCGCGCGGGCCCGGGGAAATGCCCGCCGAGACAGCGCTCGGGACATCGGGATCCTTTCTTTCCAGGTGATGGAGATCGTTATTAGCGTTTTCCGCCCTCTKCCAAAAAGTGCGCCCTAACGCCTTTGTCAGCATGCTGAAATATTCCTACCTTRTTATTTGAGTACAATTAGAGCGACGTGGATGTGATTTTGCTGCTTTAATTAGGCCTCTAGCGCTGAGTTTTGAGTGCTTTAGCTTTTCCTGTTAATAAGTTCTGGCCTAATTAATAACAGCTAAATGTGCTGCCTTTCTTCAGAAACAAATAAGGAAGCTTTTCATCATGCTGCACAACCATATCCATAGGGCACAGTGCAAACGTAGGATGTTTTAAAAACCAGGATAAGCACACGGGGGTGCTGGCCGTCCCCCCTTAACGGAGGAGGGAGGCCTTGGTACCCCGTGCTGCAGCTCCCGCTCCCCTGGCACTGAGGAAGAGCCTCTCCTGGGTAACTGCTGCGGCTGCTGCGTGTCCTGCACCCTGCTTCCTGACTGAGGAGGTTCCTGCCCCGGAGGTCACGGCTGCAGCTGAAGGCTCAGGCAGGTACTTAGTGCATTGGTGATCTGCCAAAATATAGTGCATGTTGTGCAGTGCAGGAGTAGCGTATTTCAATAGTAAATACATGTTTTGTTATATATCGCTTTGTTTTTTTTAGGAAACGTGTTTATTATTATAAAATAGCCTTTAAAAATAGCCTTTTTTGTGGTAGGATTTGGAGGGAGAGTTTGCAAATCCGTTCTAGTTGTTCTTCAAAGCAAATGTATTTTAAAAAAAACTTCTCGGAGAACAACTTATACGTAATACTGATTTGCTTTAGAGTTCTTAATAAGGCTATTTTAAGTTCATACAGGTCAGTAAATAGTGTTCAAGTGAAGTGTTTCAAGGCCATCCTTCCAGATCAGGATCTTTGATTCAAACAAGTAAGAAGTCAGGAAGCTTTGCTTTTTCTTCTGTAAAATGAATTTTTTTTTTTCTTCTGTAAAATGAACAGTTCTACAGAGAGAATAAGTTAACATAATGCCCTTCAGTTAAGTTTTCTTTTTTTCCCATTAATTTTTGTAGTTAATTCTGAGACTCTATAAGCAAGAAGTGAGTAGGACACCTTTTTATTTTTTAGATAGAATTCAGAAATAACAAGAGATTCATTAATAATGTATAAAAAGAGTAAGTTGTAGTACAGCATTGAAGCATAATCGGTGGTATCACAGTTTAACGACTCTTCTGTCATGCAAACCAAGTAACAGATGACCACTGTGTGGTAGAACTAAGCCTTCCAAATATCGTGTCCCTTAAAGCAGGGTGATCTTTAGAAAATATGTGCCTGGGGAGAACAAAAATCTATTACTAGGCTTAGACTAATTGTTGTCTTTGGCTGTTTGCTCAAGGAGAACACACATCTTCTATTAAAGGCCACAGTCTTCAGCTTGCCCTCTACCTTGCCCTAATGAATGGCAGATCATCACGCTGTTGGTAACGAGTGGGTGCTCTCTTGCAGCATGGTAGGTGCCCCGTCGCAGAGGCCATGTAGCAGGAGGCCTTGAGCTGTTCCCTGGCCCGTCSGTTCCCAGCAGCAGTCGGGGAAGCTGGAGAAGGATGCAGGCAATCGGCTTCGTTTCCCTATGGATGCTGAGTTGGCTGTTCGGAGGCCTCGCGGCGCATCCCGGAGAACACGAAGACGTGGTAAAGCACGCGATAAAGCTGCACCGGGGCAGAGGGGCCGTTGCCACCCAGAGAAGGCARTGGGTGTTGGAGAGCTGCCGGAAACTCTCTGGCCTCCTTCGCCAGAAGAACGTGGTGCTCAACAAACTCAAAAATGCCATCAGAGCTGTGGAGAAGGATACAGGCCTCTCAGATGAAGAGAAGCTTTTTCAGGTGCACACCTTTGAAATTTTCCAAAAGGAGCTAAATGAAAGTGAAAACTCGGTCTTTCAAGCAATCCACGGCCTCCAGAGAGCTCTGCAAGGGGATTACAAAGATGTTGTCAATATGAAGGAAAGCAGTAGACAGAGACTGGAAGCCTTAAGAGAAGCTGCGATTAAGGTTAGTTTTTAGTCCTGTGTTTGTTACTAGAGTATTTAATGTGCTACTTGTGCTTTTTAATTCATTATGATACAGTTTTGGTCTGTGCTAGTGAAAAGGTGACTCTACAAAAGACTTGCAATATTTTTACCATTTAAAATAGATGTTGAGCAAAGCTGCAGAGTTTGTTCTCCATAGTAAAAGCTGAAGTTCTGTAATGGAGTTCAGTAATAGTCAATAATTATTTCAAATAAAGCTAAGGCTGATCACAAGACTTATGTCAAATATTAAAACAAATATGAGAAATGAGGCAGTGCAAATAACACAGTAGTGGGATTATCAAAAAGAATATGAAATCATTAATTGGTAAAATAGTGGCTAAATGGGCAACAAAGATGATTAATGGACTGGAGCATCTCTCATATGAGGAAAGACTAAGGGAGCTGGGCCTGTTTACCTGTTTAGCCCAGAGAAGAGAAGGTTGAGAGGGGATCTGACCAATATRTACAAATACCTGAGGGGAGAATGTAGGGAGAAAGGGGCCAAACTCTTCTCAGTGGTGGCCAGTGACAGTACAAGAGGCAATGGGTACAAGTTGAAACACAGGCAGTTCCATCCCTATGTGGGGAAGAACTTCTTTCCTGTGAGGGTGACAGAGCCCTGGCACAGGCTGCCTGGGGAGGCTGTGGAGTCTCCTTCTCTGGAGATCTTCCAGACCCGCCTGGATGCCGCCCTGTGCCCCGTGCTCTGGGTGTCCCTGCTGGAGCAGGGGGTTGGACTGGATGATCTCTAGAGGTCCCTTCCAACCTCAGCCRGTCTGTGATTCTGTGAAATGAGAATTTCTCAGCCACGGTCTTTGCACAGATGTGGATAAAATGGATGTGCAAAATGACTGCGTTGTTTATAGTACTTGTAGCCTAAGAAGCACAAGTGTCAAAGTTCACTGGAATTGTTTTACCAAGAAATCCCAGATGAGTAACAGGACAGTACGAGGACTTTGGAAAGCTTGTGTCTCTGTGTCTGTGCAGACCTGTTTGGGCTTGCACCATCTGCCTCTGACTGCTGTACTTTGCAATGCTCAGAATATGTATAGAAAAATCTCCCATTCGGAGAAAATATTTTCTTAATTGACTTGGCATTTAAATTGTTCTTTACATAGCTTCTGCCCTCAACTGTAAAAACATGAAAGATTGCTTTTTTTTCCCTCTCCTCCTCTCTTTTTTTTTTTTTTTTTTTCTTTACATAGCTTCTGCCCTCAACTGTAAAAACATGAAAGATTGCTTTTTTTTCCCTCTCCTCCTCTCTTTTTTTTTTTTTTTTCCTTCCATGTCCTCTTCAAGAAGAGAATGTCCTTGTGGAAGTGAGCAAAAGAAGGAAAGGATGTAACTGGGATGGGATCAGGGTATAATGTTTGAGCTTGGAGAGTCTAGGAGTATTTGGTGGGGAGACCTGCAGTGCTGCCAGCTGAAGATGGCAAAAAGCTCTTCTGTRCAGGAATGGTGTGTTGGGAATTGTGATGGGAACAAAAGTTAAGCTTTAGACTTGGGAGGCTGGAGGGCTCTGTGCTGTGAAAAGCAAAGACTTTCCTTCTGACTTACCTATGTTTTGGCAAAAATGTTATAGCAAAACAGCTCTTGGAGTAATCTACCCCTAGAGTTGAATGAGAAAAATCAAGAAGCAGCATTTTGAGATACTCATGTTTTAGGTACAATGTCCTGTCAGAGCTTTGCTTCCACAGATCATGTACGCTGTTTTTATATATCATACCAAGATCCTTGAATCAGCAGTCTTTTATAGCTCTCCTTCTTATGCGTCTACATGATTATTTAAATAAAATATTCTCTGTTATAACCTTACAATTTGTTATATAAAGTGAAATAAAAGAGTAGATGCAGAGGAAATGCATGCTTAAAAGACTGGAAATTATATGGGATAAATTTGTTATGACTTATTCTCACTTGGAAAGACAAACATTATTTTTTTTCCTCCCCATTTGTTTAATTGTAATGACTACCTTGTTTGGATGCTCAAAGACATCCTTTCAGTTTTTCTAGGGAGTGACTGTGTGAAAAATACAACTGATTGGCAGGAATACCTCAGGAAGGCTGAATTCTTATTCTTGTAGAATTGGAGTGTTTGGAAGTATTTTGTGTCAGAAACTGTATGTCTGATATATTTTATCTTGGTTCTGCTGCTAAGAAAAGACATGCCAAAAATCATTCACGTAGGCAGGGAGGAAGGAGGAGGTATTGAAGACACTTCTCTGTTCCTTTGCTCAAGAAAACCGAATTAAGGTTCTGGAAGAAGCAACAATGTTCTACCAACTTTTCATCACTTTCTAACTTTTTTGGTGCCAGCTGCTCAGTAGTTGGTGGAAAAGATAACATTCCCACAACGCAGCAGAKATGCATCCTGCTCTGAACTTGCTTTCCTCACCCCTTGTTGAACAGTAGAGAGCAACAGCAGATAGTCCTGCCCCAAGCTCTTACTCGGTCTTGCTCGTGTGTATTCTAGGTGCTCCCTGTTTAGCCCAGAATGCCCATCTTGCTTAAAATGCTCTTCAGTGCAGCTGTGCTTGGATGTCTCCAGCCCAGCATCAATTSCAGAGCAGTATTTGTACTGTGCAGCCCTCTGCTTAAGGTGAAGCAGCATCTCCAGGAAAGCTGGACCTGTTCCTGGATGCTCTTCTGCCTGGTTGTCTCCCTCTGTATTGTGGCACTGGTGAAGACAGATGCCACTTCAATAGACTATGGAAAGAGTTGCATCCTTTAGTTAAAGAAACTTAGAACTCCAGGTTCTCCATATTTTCAAAGCTCTTCTATTCTACTCCCCAGGGGAGGCTAACCTCTTGCCATATTAGAGTTTTGCTTTTTCTGCAGTTTGCTTTTTTTTTTTTTCCCATCGGTTTTGTCTCAGCTGACCAAAAGGACTAATCCAACACCCTTCCACTTAAAACCCAATCCTTTTTTTGAAGGAAAAACCTATAATTAAATCCATCTGGTGTTCTGAGTTGTTTCTGACTGATGAGAGAGCCCATGACTCTCAGAATCACAGAATATTCRAGGTTGGAAGGGACCTCTRSRGATCATCTAGTCCAACCTTCCCACTCAAGCAGGCACACCTAGAGCATGGGGCACAGGGCGGCATCCAGGTGGGTTTTGAAGACCTCCAGAGAAGGAGACTCCACAGCCCCCTGGGCAGCCTGTGYCAGGGCTCTGTCACCCTCACAGGGAAGAAGTTCCTCCTCACCTGGAGATGGAACCTCCTGTGCTCCAGCTTATGCCCATTTCCCCATGTCCTATCGCTGGCCACCAATGAAAACAGCCTGTCCCCTTCCTCCCTGCATTTTCCCTTCCTGAACTTATACAGACTCAATCTGGGTCCGGTTTTAAAACCTTCAAGCAATGTCTGGTAATGGAGAACAACAGAGCTAGGACAAGAACATGACTGTTGCTTATACGTTGCATAAGAACCAAAGCAGTCGGTGTTGGTCTAGGCACACTAGCAGTTACATTTTCCCTCACTCCTGTTATTCTGGGAACTGGGCAGTTTTCACCATGCTAGTGTAGCTTTGGTAATTCTAAATATCAATAGACAAAAGTCAGCAAGCCTGAGTTTTTGTCACACCCTGAAGTGCAGCCCTGACTTTCAGGATATTAGGATATCTTTTAGGATATTAGGAGTAAGCCACAGCTTCGGGGTGGTTCTGAACATATTCTTGCCTTGGCATGGAGGAACTGATTGAATTATATGTGTGTGCTTGCAGATTTCAGGGGGGAAAAGTATTCATCCCYGCACTTGTTTGGAAGCGGGACCACTTCAGTTATGTAAGAATAGGTCATCTTAGGGCAGTTTTAGATGTCCAGAGTATGTAAAACAACTAACTATGTGATATGGGCAGAGAGAATGCAAAATCTGGAGACTCATGAGACTGCTCTCTAGCTGGATGTTTTACTGASTCTGAAGCGGTGATAGAAGCAGCTCAGCCTGACCTAAGGGCTGCTTGTGTTAAGTGYCCAGCCTGTTCTTCCTTTGGTCCTGAGGTTGGCCAAGAACCAAAGGGCCATCTCAYCCAAATCAGAGCAGTCTGCAGAATCCAACTGAAATCCTTGGCTCCTTTGTAGTTGTTCTGATTAGCATATCTTTAAGGGAATGTCAGCATGTCAACTGAGGCATCTTAATCTTTCTCTTTCCCCCAACAAAATAAATTATAGTCACAAAATATTAAGTTAAATTACTGCTTTGATAACCATATGGAAGGAGTAGTCTTAAGCCTACTCTTTGATCAGTAAGTGAAACTCTTTTTTTCAGTTCTCTCTTTTTGAACATAAGCCATTCAGTCGCAGTCATCCACAATAAACATAATCCCAATAAACATAATCCCAATAAACACAAGTTTCTCAGGGAAGCTGTCACAGCATTTTTATACCATATCAGATCACGTCAGCATTTCTTCTCTTCTTACTTTCAAAACCCAGAAACAGATTTCATAAAGCATTAGTGCAAGTTTGTAAGAAACCAAGACTAAAGAAAAATGCACGAGGTCAAGCATTCTGCTTCCAGTGGAAAAGTGCTGCTTGAGCAACATAAACAGGAACCTCACCTAAGGTGCTTGACTTGTAATCTGTGCTCTTTCTCAAGCTTCTGTTTTTCTTAGCCATTTCCACAGTTATTGTAGTTCTATAAAACACAAGCAGATTTCTTCCCCTGTTTATAGAAAGGTTTTTAAAGTTGAGCTTCATTGTATTTTCCTTCCAATTTGTTTGATGGCTGTAGTTAGTTAAAGCCATCCTTTCAAGTTTATTGCGCTTCTCTGCTGACATACTCAATTCTGAATTTTCCTTGGCTCTGAAATATTTCAGATGGTTCCTCAAAGTAATCGCTCTTCAAATGCTCTTGTAACATCCATATTGCTTTTGTAATTCCCTTTCTTGTTAGATCTCTTGTCAAAAGAAGTTACCCTTAGGTCAAATGTTTTCCTGCTCAGAGGTGTGGCCAGCACTTTATGTCTGTGTTGTAAAATCTCACAGGAAGAAATGGAATATGTTGAACTCCTGGCAGCAGAGAAACATCAGGTTGAAGCCCTTAAGAATATGCAACATCAGAACAAAAGCCTGTCGATACTTGATGAGATTCTTGAAGATGTCAGGAAGGCAGCTGATAGATTGGAGGAGGAAATAGAAGAACATGCTTTTGATGACAACAAATCTGTAAGTACTTGGTCTTTTCATTCACATACATTTCTTTTAAGTCGATAGTAGCATTGTAGAGATGTTTCTCTTCACAGTCAGTATTTGTTTAGGATTTTAGCATGCTGTAAAACATTGATTTTACATGTTTAAACTTCCATTTCTGCAGAAGAAAAATATTTAATATCTAGTTTTCTTGTTAGGAAATGAACTAACAGGAATTGTCACCCATTTTTTTTGCTAGTAATTTCACTGTTTTCTTTAGAAGTCCTCCACGCAGCTGTCATTTTTACATTTTTATTCCGTCTCACTGGTACAGCCTGTGAGAGCTGTGACATCTCTTGGTGGCTGTGGGCACTATGCTATATAGATTTGCAGGGTATGGAGTTAGCAAATCAAGCGTTGTCTCCACCTTTTTTTTTTGTTTGTTTTTCTCTCTGTCTCATTTTATTGAGAAAGTGATGGGAGAACAAAAATCCTTGCAGTTAATTTTCAGTCCGGGTAAAGATACATTGATCAAGGTAAGGCCATGAAACGTGGTGGTGTGTTGCTTTCTTTCACTTCCAACTTTGCTTTCAGTCCATTGGGTTACCTGAGTTGTTGACTGTGTTCTATGTTGCACGATGGACAGTCCCTCAGGTAAGGCTGTGTGCACTAGGAGCTGGGCGTACCTCAGTTTCCTTCTGACTCCCCGGGTGTTTTCCTAAGAGCCTGAATCAGTCCTGTTTATGAGCGTTGATTGCAGTTTTATTTCTGCACTTGAAAGGCCTCGGTTGATTTGCAGATTGAATTCAGAGGCCAGCACGGTTCTGCTGTGGAAGAATCTCTCTACCAGAGAGCCAGGCTCTTTTTGCAGTTGCCTTGCGAGAAAGTAGCTCTTCATTTTGCATCTGGCAGATGGGTGCTTTTGCACTTGCTGGTAGGGCTGCCTCGCAGGGTGCCCTGCCCCGCAGTGGGTCGGGAAGAGCTCGTTGGAGAGCCCTCCTCTGTTACCGCGGGGTATAACAGCACCCATCGAGGCCAGCGGCACCCGCCCAAGCAGCATCCCTCCTAATTTGCTCATTGACAAAAGGCCAGTGCAGAGTTTTTCTCCAGTGCAGCTATTTTTTGTTGTTGTTGTGTGCATTTGTGCCTCTATTCACGAAATAGGGGGGATAATGAAGTGGTAACTGGAGGACTGCTTAGGTCTCCAGCTTAGCAAGAAACAGTTAACATGTTTTCTCGTAAACTGCAACACTAGAATGGAGAAGGCCTAAYTGAGTAGTCAATAATATGAACAAGGTATAGAAGCTCTCATTAAAAGTATAAGCAAGGATGAATGTAATAGATAAAAAGAACAAAGGAATATGAGCTATAGCCCCCTTAGTGCAAGAGAACAGTGTTTATACATTGTACTCCGCAACATACAGCTCGCTTGCAGGAACTGCTATTTTTAGGAAATAAAATCTTGAAGTAACTGTTTGCCCATTATGTCTCCAATTTCATCAGTTTTTAACAGCTCATCTGAATCTGTTCTGTCTATCCTTGCTCTCCCATCATGTTCCATCTTTGGTTCTTTTTTCTTTAGAAAAAAACCCCACGATATCTATTCAATATTTAATTTTGTAAATATACTACACACACACACACACAAAAAGGATTTTATTGTRATTGTTGTACTCATTATAATATCTTCTCTTGCTATGCCTTGCTATTCTTAGTATCATGTCTGAACTAGATTGTAAACCCACTGGCTGATGAATATAATTTGTCCAGTCAGACCACTTTTATTGGATTTGTGATAATTTTAAATTTTCATACAGAAAAGTTTGGTTAAGCTTCCACATGCAAAAGCCACCAAGTACAAAGGGACATATAACAAGTCTTATATTAATCTAGAATTCCAGAATTTCAAAGAAAAAGCTYCAATGTGTATATATATTCAAAAGGTACATATTGATATATTTTTGTAATATCATAAGATTAAATTCTCAAGAAGGTAGCGGAACAGAAGTGATAATTACCTGCCATGTGAGGACACTGCACTAAATAATGAACTAATTCCTGGGCGTAAGTCAGCTTAGAGTATGTTTTAAATTGCAGAACCAACATTYACCTCTGTTTTCTGAGCCCATTTTGATATCCCTGGAGTGTCCTGGGGAAGGGGATCAGGAGCAGAGGTGACACAAAAGTGCTGGCAAAGGGAACCTGTTGAGTATCCTGCACGGAAACACTTGCGCAGGTTCCCTGGCCGCGGGGAGGCCTTGCTTTGTGCCTGTGCTCCGAGAAGGGTTTGCACGTGCAGGGCATGCAGCTGCTCCTGCTTTCTCTGAAAACGCTGAAAATGCCCACTTTGGGCTCCAAYGCTGAGCAATGGCACTCCTTTCTGGAATGCAAAATAGCCTGGTAAGTGGGATATAAAAACAGAATAATCATAAAAAGACAAATTATGGAGGAAAAGAAACAAGAGGTGAAAAGCTGACTTTCATAATGCATGAAAAGAAAATGACCATCAACATTTTGGTCCAATGCATAAAAATGTTGGTACTTGAAGGAAATATTTCTAAATAATTATGTAGGCTTCAGAGTTTGTTTCAGATTCTGTGTTGCTTCTCCCCATGTGATTCATAGTGACTTCCCATTCTGTAGAGGTCCGTCATATTGCATGATGTACATAAGTRGAGGAAGAGTTAATTGTTATGATAAGAATTTCCAGCCTTTTAAAAACATATATATGGAGTGAAGAAAAGCACAAAACTTACAAGTAAAATGTCAATATGAAATAATGAAAATGCAATGTCTGTCTGAATAATTTTATGCAAGGTGCAGGGGACTGAGCCAAGGCAAATAGTCTGATAGTTTATAATTGACTTATATGACTGCAGTCACCTGAAAACTGGGGAATTGCACAAGCAAAGTAAGATGATCCAGAAAAGTAAGATATTAGTTGGTCATTGGAATGAAAATAGCGTAAGAACTTGGAAAAAATAATCTGAATTATTTCTGAATATTGTGAGAATCTGTATTAACATTAACCTACCTACTTCGGTACAAGACAGAGAAATGATTTTTTTGTTCTATGTACTTTAAGACAGCTAAGTATAAACAGTTTTCATCCTCTGCCCTTTAATTCTGCAGGTTACTGACTTTTTTCTTAAATGGAAATATAGTCACTATCTGATTTTTGTAAACTGATTATCCATTTCTAATCTCTGTTTCTTTTCAAATGTTCGAAGTATTACATTTTAATCCAGACTTCTTAGAGACATTATGTTTTTGTGATTCATTTTTAAAATGTAGAGCAGATTATAAGACTGAGGTTGCATTTTAAGTTACAATTTTTTTTTTTTTTTTAATAATGAGTCTGACAAAACTTCTCCCAGACTGAACTGCAGTATTTCTACTGTCTTTGATGCGTTCTGGAGAAACTTGGTGCACAGCTAGCAGTCTTTTCCTCTATTACTGTATTGACACATGTTTTTGTTACTTATTTTTCTTCCAAGGTAAGAGGTGTTAACTTTGAAGCAGTTTTAAGGGTCGAAGAAGATGAAGCCAACTCCAAAAGAAATGCTTCAAAAAGGGAAGTGGAAGATGACCTAGGTCTAAGTATGCTTATTGATTCCCAGAACAATCAGTACATCCTTACGAAGCCCCGAGATTCCACCATTCCCCGTGCTGATCATCATTTCATAAAGGTAATCCATCCCCTGACAGGCGTTCCTGTCATTCTCTGTAGGGTGACTCAGTGCCACTTGTTTGCACGCCAGGGCTGCTTCGCACAGTTTCAGCATCAGTCCCTCTGGAATTACCCCAGCATTCATGGCTCCCCTTTCCTCTGGTGGTCTGGCTAATGTTTTTCTCACTCTCGGGTTTGTGACTTTTAAACATACATGCGACCTGACTCCTCTCTCTCTATTTAACTTTTTATACCTGTGGGCAGCTTCCCTTCTGCTCTCTAACTGCCCACTGTTACCAGGCCTGGCAGAGGCTCTTTTTAATTAGCTTGCATGTTGTCATGAGAAGATTGATCCCTATGTGCCTTGTGATAAGGAAACGGAGGCTGGAAAATACACAGGAATATTTCTACAGTATCCATTCTTGGTAAAGAATAAATGGATTAGGATTCTTTTAAAAAAATCTTTTTTAAACAAAGTGGATCTGCTAGGCAATTTTGTTTAAATGTAAAGTATATTTCATCCAAAAAACTGCAGTTTATGCCTACAACAGCTTAATTCACTGATGTTTAATGTTTCATTATCACTGGTTCTACCCAGTACCATTTTTCTTTGAAAGGTGAAAGTCTAACTTCAGCACACCCTTGTGATCTTTGTATTAACACATTTGTAAATCTTATGTACAGGATATTGTGACAATCGGAATGTTGTCCTTGCCRTGTGGCTGGCTGTGCACAACGATAGGGCTGCCAACAATGTTTGGGTATATCATCTGTGGAGTGCTCTTAGGACCATCAGGATTAAATAGTATCAAGGTAACTGCTCTGATTTGACTGGTTTCATTTATCAAAAACACTAAGAATATTTTTGGAAGAATATGATACTGCTAAGCTCTACTGTGTTTAAAAAAAAAAAAAATCACAAACCTTGACCTATATAAAATGGGACCTTGAAATTGTCTTTGAATCACCTTATTTTCTTTCTTTTTTTCCCTTATATATATTTTCTTTTTTTCTTTTTTAAATGAAAGCTGAAGGGCTGTATTTTAATGGGTATTTTTTATTTGTTTCTCTAATAAAGCATCGTGTTTTGGAGCCAAATTGAGAAAAGGTGTGAAATACTCAAAAACTTGCCCAAATCAATACCGAGATCAGTGCAGGTGTTTAAAACAAGTGGTTCTCTGAGTACCATAGCTTGGCTTCCTAGAGGGTTATTTTGCATCTCTGCAGCTCTTCCACCCATCCTAGTAACCCTTGTTCTTTCCCAGTCCTCCTGCTCACATTCCTGAAATCTCCTGAACCTTTTTAGCTCCATCACGTGTTCCCTGATTATGAGCTGAATGAGGAGCAGGAGAGGCTGTGGCTGGTTTGAGGTTACACATGTTTTGCTTCGTGGTCTGGTTTGCATTAACAGATTGTTTAGCCAGCAGGCAAAAGAGAGCAAATGTTAAGGCTGCCTGTTAACATGAAGTTAGGTAAAAMGTCTGTGTTTCATTGACATTCGCATAGCTGATTGGGACTTAATGTCTTTGGAAGCTCTGCTCGTACCTCAGATTAACCGAAAGGCTCAAAAGTGAGTAGGGATGAGTAGACAGTGCAGGCTTCTGTCAATCTTGTTTTAGGAAAGGAGACTAAAAATCCCCTGTCATTTCATATTCTAGTAAGACTTTTTACTATGAAAAGAAGAGGTTGTTACGTTTGTGTCATTTGTAACATCTGGGTTGGGAATATCTGGAAAACTTGACTGCTTAGACTGAGCAGCAGGGTTTTAATATTTGTCTTCAGAGAGAGATTCTGGAGTGGATTTTCACTGATGTTTGCACTGAGGAAGAGGAGGGGTCAGAACAGAGATGGAGGAGTTTTCTTTAGGCAATTTSTTATGGAGCTGTGATTCAGTGTTATGCTTCTGGATAATACTTATTTGTGTTTACTGAGTCTCTTCTAGTGTTTTKTCTCTGTTAGTCTTCCGCATTTCTTAAAAATGTGGAGTGTGGGAGGAACTGCAGAGGCAGGCGGGCAGATTCTCATCTGGTGGGTGGGAGCTCTTCCCCATATTCTGCTGCTCTGTGAGCAAGGATATTCCCTGTCCTCCTCTGCTTTGGACTCTAGATAATGTTGAAAAGAAATAATAGGCATCTGCTTTTCCTGCTCTCACAGCCCTGTACTTCCTCTGAGGAGGAGAGGCTGGTGGTTGTTCCAGCCTGCTCTGAGAGATAAATACCTGGAGTCCATAGCATGGAGAGAATGACTGGCCAGGAGTAACTCCTGGAACGTAACCTTGGCATTTAATAACATGCAAACAAAACTTACCTATTTATGTTGCACAAAAAAGAAAACTTACCTAGTTTAAGRTAAGAACATATGCATTTGGGTGAGCAGCATTGTTCAAACAATTGTGTAGTTGCAAAYGTGTCATGGGAATAATATTTCAAATCCTCAAGATACTGAGAAAATTTTTRATGTCATATGACCGGTAAGCCCGAATGACCTATGGAAACGTAATAAATTGTTTGTATTGAAAACAGACTTGTAATCTGTGTTGAAAGTACACTGCTATGCACTGATTTTTCTTTTATTTTTTAAYAGTCTATTGTACAGGTGGAGACATTAGGAGAGTTTGGTGTATTCTTCACTCTCTTTCTAGTTGGTCTGGAATTTTCTCCCGAAAGATTAAGAAAGGTATTTCYTTACAGTGCTTCTGCCTAACTTGAACTTTAGGAATTAAACCATCTAATTGGGATTGCTTCATATTTTTATGCTCTGTCTATAACACTGCAGGATAACTTTTTAATTAAAGACTAATATGATATTTACTTCTTCATTTTAAGTCTTTGGAAAGAAAATGGTGCATTATTTACTTGATGCTTCAAAAAATCTTTGCCATTCCTTTCCATTTTAGATAAACAGTTTGATTGCTGGAAAGTTCTYGTGCAATTTATTTCAGTTAATCTTTGCTGTCCAGCCAATCCGGTTGCTGTGATGCAGTGTCCAGTGGTGCTTTGCCAGTCTGGTAATTAAAAAAATGTGTAAGAAAAAAAAAAAAAAAGCTATAATCTTTTACATTTTTTTACATATTTTACATGTACATATTTACATTTTTAAAATATTTTTCAGCTGTATTTTCCGCTATTAAAAGAGTACATGCATTGTGTGATTTGTCCCTAAATTGTGGTTGTGATTGTTAGTCCATGAGACTATAAGAGACTTCATTGAAATATATATTGAAGTTTATAAGCATTCCACTTAAACTGCTATTTTTAGTCAAAGATAAAAATCTTTTAGTACATTTAGTAATTCAGAGGTTCCTGAACTGTGATACCTAAATTTTTACTGGTGCTCAAGTCATTTGAAAGTTGTGTGTGCCTCACTACAGAGTGGACTGCTCTTATTGACAATGGTCCTCACCATGTCTACTGTTTTTTTAATTGAAATCACATTAAATAATTGATTTTCTATTTGATATTTATATAGTTCAGTTCATATCAGAGCTTTCATTCTTCATTTATTGGTCTTTTTGCTCCAGAAAATTTATCAATTTGGGGTAACGAGCCCTGGAATGAAATATAGTCTGTGATATCTGTAATATCTTTAGAGTTGTAGAACGTATAGGGTGAGAGCCCGTTACTTCTGTGGACAAGCTCGGCAGCCTTAAGCCCTGCAATTTTGGTTATTTACACTTAAAAGCTTTGTAACATGCCATTGAGAAAAATCTCAGACTTTATAAAMGGAATTTGTTTTCTTCTCCAGGTATGGAAGATATCTTTGCAAGGACCCTGCTACATGACAGTGCTGATGATTGCCTTTGGTTTGTTATGGGGACACTTGCTCCAAATTAGACCAACGCAAAGTGTCTTTATTTCCACCTGCTTGTCTTTATCGAGCACACCGCTGGTGTCAAGATTCCTTGCAGGGAGTGTTCGAGGAGATAAAGAAGGTAGGTTGGTTTTAAATAGAGGCTACTGTAAAATTTACTGTAAAGTACTGTGGAATGTACAGTGAAACTTGACAATAGCTAGGCATCTGTCAAATCAAATTAGTGTTTATTTGGYTGTCTTTCATAAACATTGTCAAGCCTGCTTTATAAGGATTCATTCTTCTCGAACACTGACCAGTGTTATGGATTGAAGTCTGGAATTCTTGCTCTTTTAAGAAGTTAGCAAATTATACCATTGCTCCCAGTCTGTCATCAAGGCAGAAAAGCTACCTGCAGTAATTCACATCCTTCTTCTGCAGACTCAGACCAGCTTGGGTAGTCTCGAGTCCTTTCAGTTGCTAGCTTCCTAAATGTTTCCTAAATATTTCTTTTCAAAAGTTTTGCTAACTTTCATTCTTCCCCTTGAACCTGCTGTACATATGAGACATTAAGGCCTTTTTTAGATCTTTAGGAAATTTGTAGTCCAGTGAATATCAATTATATTATTCAGGTATACTATTATTCATTACATTCAAAGAAAGTATTTTACACATTCAGTCTCTTGACTGTGCCCATTATGCTGCACACTGAGTTTCCAATASAGAAATTACAGTAAGTGCATAACTAGTGCTTAACTGCTATGTAAAGGTTGTGTTTTATTGTATAGCAGAAGCATGGTATGAGTGTTTTATAGATGTGGTTTACCTAATGATGGAAAAAAACAGAATGTTTTGAATGTTCTCAGCCTAGTGAGAACCATGCTTAGCCTCCTTGTGATGAAGACATTTCTAGGCATCTGATCACTGAAAGCATTTGTAGATTCTGATATRTGTTTCAATGACTTTCTTTTATTTTTGGCGTACAGGGGACATTGACTACAGCAGCGTGTTACTGGGCATGTTGGTGATGCAGGATGTGCAGCTTGGTTTGTTTATAGCTGTCATGCCTACACTTATTCAAGCAGGAGCAAGCACCTATTCCAGGTAAAGAAATTCCTGTCTGTATGMCCCCCATTTCCCATTTGGTGCGCTGATTGGAAGTATGAATATAAGAAAGCTGCCCTTAAAATGTTAGATTCTAGAAAAAAGCATGCTTTATTCTCTGAGTTTCCTTTACTATCTGTAATTACAGTGTTATGTGAGAATATGCTTTCTGCTCTGGATACCTTTGTCCTACCAAAAAATTAGATTAAAACTACTAATGAAGATTATTTTTGTTGAAAATAAGGAAAATTCTTCAGAGCTACTTTGTTCACTCGAGAGGTATTCCTATCAAAGACTGAAATAGAATTGTTGAGCCTGCTAATGCTGCAGTTCAACTAACAATATTTTTTTTTTTTTTTTTTTTGCTGATTTTGAAACAGCTCAGAAGTAAATTCTGGGCATTTGGCAGAATTAGTATTCATGGTGTTTGCTTGTGTCTCTAAATACCTTACTCTGGATACCTGTGGTAGGTAGCTATGGTAATTCTGAACATCTGTGCAATTACATAGTCTCACTTTAGTGACTCTGATTTAGGGGCATGAGCAGTTTGAAGAAATTATTGTTTGTTTTTCTATTTCAGCATTGTCAAGGAAATACTGAGAATACTGCTATTGATTGGCCAAATTCTCTTTTCTCTGGCTGCTGTTTTTCTTATATGTCTTGTTATAAAGACTTATCTCATAGGACCGTATTATCGCAAGTTGCATATGGAAAGCAAAGGGAATAAAGAAATCCTCATTCTAGGAGTATCTGCATTCATCTTCCTTATGTTAACGGTAATCATTTAAATTAATATTTAAAAAATATAAATGTTTTATAGTGCATCAGTATTGCAAAACCATCATGTTTACAGTTGCTGCATAACCATGTATTTCTGTAGTTAATTGCTTGGCTTTAAAATGCTTAAAATCAAAATGCACAAGTGACTGATGTGAACCACAGCACAGGTGAGTAGTAGCTGATAAGATTTCAATGTCAATAGGCTAAACTTCTGTGGGTAACTTTTAATAAAGTCAATTAATCATGATTACAGTCTTATTTTTGGGGTATTTCATGCATTTGAAAAATCAGGATGAGTTTTGAATTACTGATAATGGTTGTGCACAGTTATCTATTGAATTTATTTACCTTTCTGAATGGCAAATTCTTAACATAGTTTGAATTACAAAATAGTTTCCCTTCGTGGTAGATAATTTGGGACTGAAATGAGAAATTAAAGAAATTCCGTAATGTTTGGCAGTTTTGCCTAAAATGTGGCATGCAGCCCCTATGCATAAAGTTGAATATTTTAAAAGACAGAATAGTGCTTTATTAGGAGTCCTATCATAACTCTTCAGGGCAAAAACCATTTTTGAATGTTCTGATATCTGTTCTGGGCTTATTTTTTTTTTTTTTTCCTGCGCAGCGTCTTCCTACCATTGGTTTCCATCTCATGTTTCAGCCCTCTGGCAAACTGTTCTGTTAGAGAATAGAACATGACAGTCCCTGATAATGGTATGGGTTTGGAACACTGTTATCATGGATCTGCAGATTGTTATGCCCTCTTTGAGATATTCTGGAAAAAAAAAAAAAAATTAAAAACCTGTTCATACAGCTTTTTTGCTAGGCTATTAATGTAATTGTTACAGAGCCAATAAAGTTGTTGTTATTCAGGATGAAAGCCAAGGAAGAAGTTAGTGAGAGAATAACTTTACATTTTTTTTTCTATTTGTATTTTATAGGTTATAAAAATGCTATCATAAAAAGATATTTGTATTCCAAACAAGTGTACCAAGTAGCTGAAATATTAAATAAGTAGCCCAAATTATTTTCTTGTTTCTACTTTCTAGCAAGTAGACCCAGTATCTGTGAAACACCTTTAATGAAAACAGCAAAAGCATAACATATTATGGTATGAAGGAACAGTCTTGCTTTCATTAAAAATGTAGCCTACAGGRAGTAATCTAAGTGAATGTGGAAATAATGTGCCCAGATGGACACATCAAACATAAGAAAAGTTTATTCTGTATATGATGCTACATATATGTGCATACACAAAGATGTTTAAGTGAGCCCGTCCAATATATACTACAAAAATGCTTCTTCAGTATGGGAAACCTTTGTAGAGAAGCAYATATATATTCTTGAAGTGAAAGAAGATGATATATAATGTATAAAAAGGGAACAGTACAAAGGATTCTACATGTAACCTGAGCAAACGAGTTCAGATGCCTGACATTTGCTGCCACTGCTATAGTCACTTATAGTCACTTATAGTGACTAYAGTTATTACACAATAATTGGTAGACGTGCCCTTATGTCAGGTATAAAAATGAGATGGGGAAAGCAACTTAATTTGAAAAAATGTTGAATATATTTAGATATCATTTGGATATCCTGCATAATCCTTAACTAAGGTGTGGGTAAGAAAACAACTAAACTGTTCTAGTTCCTTCAAAAGTCTTTCTACTTCTAGAAGCAGCCTAGATATTGGTCAAATCTATATGTGTGCTGGCACATGTGGAATTTTCCATGCTTGTGTAATTCCAATTAATCTTTTCAGCTTGTAGTAGGAGGAATAGGAGAGTGAGTGCTTTAATGACCATAGTCAAAGGTGAYTCCAGAGCTTCACTTGCAAAACTTGAGAAACTTGAAAAATACCTGTTTTGGATCTCTGTGTTGCATGTAAGGAATTCTGCAGGGCACATCCTTTCCAATGCATGACAAAGGGGTAAGGATGATATCATGGCATTCCTGCTTTGTGCATGTAGTTACTTGTTACATACTCCTGTATTGCCTGGATTTCTGGAGTCCATCCAAGTTTATGCTACATTGGGGTTCACCTGTAGCATTAGCATATGTAATACATATGATCTATTTCTTGTTTGCCAGTTTGAAAATCTCAGATACCAACAAGAATTTAGGTTTCTTTACCAATCAGTGCAGATTCTGCACTTTTATGTGGAAAGGTGTAGGGAGGATAGGAAGACAAAAGAGGTTCTTCTATATGGTGAAAGCAAGCAGTTTTACTGTAAGGTTTATATTCTGTCATATGGGGAACTTCCTATATGGAAGCAATTTTTGAAAATTCTTTTATCAAGAGCATTCGGGGCCTGGAACATCTGCCCTATGAGCAAAGGCTGAGGGAACTGGGCCTGTTCAGCCTGGAGGAGAGGAGGCTGAGGGGGSACCTGATCAGYGTGTATAAATACCTCAAGGGAGGCAGTGAGGAGGAGGAGGCGGCGGCCTCTTTTCAGTGGTGGCCAGAGACAGGACTAGACRAAACAGCCACAAACTGAAGCACCAAAAGTGCCACAGGAACTTAAGGAAAACAGTATCGACAGTGAGGGTGACAGAGCCCTGGAGCAGCCTCTGCCCAGGGAGGTTGTGGAGCCTCCTTCTCTGGAGGGAGGTCTTCCAAACCTGCCTGGATGCAGCCCTGTGCCCCATGCTCTGGGTGTCCCTGCTTGAGCAGAATGGTTGAACTAGATCATCTCTGGAGGTGCCTTCCAACCTTAAGCATTCTGTGATTCCTGAACTGCTTGACCTTGCAAATGATTAAATCTGAAACTGAATCTTAAATATACCTCTTCTTGACAAAATAGCATAGAGGGAAAAGAAATGCAACAAATATCAATGCTTATAATGCTTATTCAGTGGGAGTGGTTGCATATATAAATATATACAGCATATATGCAACCACCTCCAGTACAAAGGCACCTCTTGGGGTGGCAGGAGAAGATTTAGGTCGAGTGCCAACAATACAGAAACTTGGCCGAGCTTTGAGACCCGGTTGTGTGGGTTCTGTGGAGCACGTCGGGCACCAGGGCTAGAGGCCTGCAGGCCGTTAGTGAATCCTGCCYGACTCCTCCGCCAGCTTCCTGCTTTTCCCATACTGCTTTTGTAAATTGGTAAACCCTTCCATTCAGTCACAACATAAAGTGGAATCTGGGTTATGGTTTTTAAAACCATAACCATTTAATAATAATAAATAATAATAAACCATTTAATGTGATCATTGAAGACGTGCGACGGAAGTGGTGCTGTTGAGGCACCTACCGATGGGGAGCCAAGGGACACGTGGCCTGTCAGCCAGCCTGTTGTTTTGTGTTCTGTGGTCACAGTCATTACGGGCAGGTTGTTTTAAGCAGCTTCCTGATAATGAGCTGCACTATCAGATATCTCTAGAACAACAGTGTTTGGCTTTGTCCTCTTTAATGGGAAGGCTCTGAAGATTATTAAGCAATTAAGAAAGAAGGCAAGAGGGATAGCAGTGACGTTTGTATGAATGTGCGTACAAAGAGGGGGAAAGGTGGTTTCCAATCTGACTGCGTTGTGGTTGACTTGTGATGGTGGCAGCAAGGGGAGGGAAAGAGCTATGTCTTCTCTGCAGCTTTTAGGCATGTAAATAAAGTTGGCATTGTTATTGTAGTATATGAAATTGTGCATACTTTTTGCCTTGATGTATTTATTAGAAATTCCTTGCTTGCTGGAGTGCTTCTCCGTGACCGAATGTGCTTATCAACTCCCTTTCTATTAATTGAGGGGAGAAGGTWAAGGAAGGATTGTAATCTCAAGTATTCCAGTTAATTATACAAATACAGTTGGAGTTTTTACAAGGCTCACTAAAAACTGTTTACATTTTCATTGAGCTTTTGCTTCCTTAAAATGCAAGCCCTTTAAGCTTGGGCAGATTTAGGCTATTAATACTTGAAATTTTCATACATTTATTTCCAGTGAGGATTTYGTTAGTGTTATTGGCTTACCCTTATTTATTAAGCTTCTGTGATGATTAAAGTTCAGCAATAAAACATGCATTACAAGAGCCTGCAGGCTGAACAAATGGCTGAAATCCAACTGGACCAGGGAATAGCTCCCCTATCCTCTTTATTGCTGTGATAGAACATCTCATAGAAGTCCAATATCCTAGTGAAAGCAAAGTGACATGTCTGAATACAGGGTAAAATGGGACCTTGGAAAACAAGTGAAAACTGAATTGTACAGAGATAAAACTGCAAATCAACAAGACATTTCCTATAACGTAGAAATAAAGAAAGGGACATGAAATAGGAGCACAACCCCRAAAATAGTAACCGTTAGAGCCCTCTTACATAAAGACAAAGCAAGGAGTTTTATGCAGGCGCAGAGTGAGAGGGAGTCCTAAATGCAAAATACTTTCCCAGTCTTGCTTATGTAAGAGTCTTTGCTGCCAATAAAACARGCCCTTTCCAGAGTGTGTGTGCATRTGTCTCATCCGCTATAGATTTTTCTCTGTGGAGGGAACATATTTTGTAAACTCCAGGTTATGTAATATCTGGAGGACAGACAAAAAATGGCAAAATTCACAGTTTACCTACAGYGTCTTTGAACTTGTCCTTGACTTAGGTTGCCCAAAAGACAGGGATTGCGGCCTTTTCAGTGTGGGATCAAACCATGTGGACGTGTTGTTGGCTGCTCTTAGATTGATATTTTCTGAACAAGCATGTAGTATTTTTTTTTTCATCCTTAAACTGTGGTTTGCTTGAACAGATACTTACAAGAACACACTATTAAGCAATTCCAATCCAAGAGATTGTAAATCTCTTCTTAAATGGCAACCTAACCATCTAAATGTGAATATTTAAACTACGAACTATAAATATTTTGACCTGGAGCTGATAATGCATAAACGTGAGGGGATTATATATAAGTAGTAGAATGTGACACTATTTGGGATCTTCRTCTAGGTGGTGCACCTTCTACAACACAGTGATTTGATTGTGAAAAAAGAATTTACCGGAAATATTCTGGAATAGGAAACACATCTTTGTCTTGGTCTGGTGATTTAATCCTTTTATATAAATTTCCATCTGCCTTCTTTTAATTCGGGATGGCTGGGAAGAACACTTTGCCACTTGAAACTAAACTGAAATTCCTTTTGTTTTAAAATATAAGCATATGCAAATGACAGCTTTTGTGTAGTAGTCAGAATGGACGATAAGGATATTTTGTTGGTTTTGCCTGGTCAGCAACTGTTTGCACTGTTTGACAGATCTAATTCAATTTTTAAAAAATGTCTTGCAACAAATTAAGCACTATAAGCATAAGTGGAGTTATGTAATGAGCATTTGGACATTATTGCTTAAAAAAATTGCAAAAAGACTGGTTTTATTTTTAGATAGCATTTTACGCACTGCTTGGAATGACTTGTTTATCATTTCTTTTGCTCTCCGCCATTAGTTCAAGTCACTTGAGTTTTAGCTTCATACCATACCGTTGAACACCACTCAGGATGTGGTGCATGTTGACCGTAAATGTACAGTAATATGTTGTTGCTTATTCTAAACTAGCATGGTGGAAATAAGGCCTCGGTTTGAAGTGTTCTATTAATAATAACAACTTTGTCATTTGTCAGCAAGATGACTGCAGCAGCGTGGTTTTAAAGTAATTGTTTTACAGCATATTTTATACTCAGTAAAAGTGCAGACTGCTTTTTTTTATTGCTAAGAGAGCATTATCTTGAGCCATTTCTTTATTTTTAGGAGTTGGAACTCTTTACATGTTTCACCTTTCGTTTCTAATGCCATACGCAGATATCAGAAGGAATAAAGAACAGTGTGAATTCTTCCAACTAGATACCATGCTTCAGATGAGCAGTTTACATACTTGAATCCATCCATGTTCAGTAAAGCCCATGAGCTTGTTTTTAACCCCCCATTTACAATCATAAAACGTGAATTATGTCTCAAAGTGTCTGCTGAATCAAGACTATTCCCCCAAAGTAAAGTTTTGATCCCACCACTTCTACCCCAACTTCTACTTTCATTGACKATTGGAAAATACCCTGCTGTTAAAAGATGGAGGCTGAGAAAATAATGCAATTGTTAGAAGCTCTTTCTTTTCAGTGAAATCAGGTGCTGTTCTTATGAGTATCACAAAGAATTACAATGTAGATTAAGGGATTTGTTGTTGTTGTTTTTGGTTTAGCCTCTGTGGGGAAAGAGGTAATGTGAAGAGGAAATTGGTTTTGTGTGTCTTTGGGACAAATACATCACTGCAGAACGCTTAAATGCACTGAATTCTATTTGTTTTTGAAATTAAAGAAAGATGTTGTAATTTACTGCACTCAATATAACGTATATAAAATGGAATGTGAAGTCACTTGGGGCAAGAGAACAGCAATAGATTTTCTGTTATTCCTTGACAGATCACAGAGCTACTGGATGTGTCAATGGAGCTGGGATGCTTCTTAGCTGGAGCTCTGATCTCTTCTCAGGGTCACATGGTTACTGAGGAGATTATGTCCTGTATTGAACCAATACGTGACTTTCTTGCCATCATTTTCTTTGCATCTATAGGTAATTTCTAAGAAAAACTTACTCAAAATAGTGCTAACCTGTGGATAAGGGGAAGAAACTCTGTGTCTGCAGAGTGGGGGGAGGAGGTGGATGTTATTTTGTGGGGAAAAAAAAAAAAACTAAATGTGAATTGACCCCAGGGATATTTTGACTTTGCTAATACTTTTAAAAGTAACCTCATATTCTTAAATACTTACCATGTTGTGCTCTCGATTCCTGGGTATCATTTTTTCATTATTAATCTGTATTATTTTACATGTGAAGTTAAGCTATTTTAAGGTAAAATGGAGTAGTTTGGGGGGGAAAAAATCTTTGTGATTGATTTGTTTTTAATTTACTTTGAATTTATATGAAAATTGTATTGCCATTTCGAGTAGATTTCAAGTTCTTACGACTTGTTTTTCTCTAGAAGCAGAATATGAAAATAGAAGCAGATCCTTTTCACGGTTTCTTTAGTTGGGAAAATGTGATCTGTGTATTCTCAACAAGAAAGAATTAATTGAACAAGATCCCTCTCAGACAGGCTACTGGAATGCCTACTGCAATGGAATATTGATGCCCAGGGAATAATTCAGCGTGGTTGTTATCCAGAGCAGAGTAATCTTGAAAATATTTGAAATCAGTCAGTATCTTTGTTTTCAATTGCCAAATTCCCAATGTATCCATACATGCCCTTCTCTAAAGGAGACATGTTGTGTAATTGCTCTGGGTCCTGTGCAGTCAGCAAAGCATTTGCCTCTCCTTACCATATCGTGGAGGAGATGTACGTCCAACGTGGGGGCATTGAACKTTCCAAAACAAGGTTTGAATTCAGCTCGTTGCTTATGTCCTCACCTTGGCTATTTTTCCAAGACTAGCCTTTTTTTTCGTTTGTTTCTATTTTTACTGAACTTTGTTTTTTTCTTTATTTCTGTGTACTTATTCAGAGTGCGCATCGCTAATTCTTTAGGCATCAGTATAATTCATCTGGCGTTTATGTCTTTGGTCTTAAGCTATAGTGCCCATATAAAATAACGAGCTTTTAAATTAGTACGTAAGAAAAAGCTGTTTGGCAGCAATTATCAAAATAATAATAATAAAAAATGTTCAACAGTCTTAATTTTGTTTCTCCCAACCCCTGCTAGTATATCCTGCTGTTCAGTCAGATTGTTGAGTAATAGATTTATTGGCTTAAAGAATTTTTTTTTTTAAATTAAATGGAAGAAATTGGCAAGCTACAGTAAAACTTTTGGGCCTATATCACTAAAAAGATTGAATGAGTTGTTGCTAAATGGTCACAGATGAGCTGTTTCTGTGTTTTAGTAAAGATGTAGTGGTAGAGTGGATGGTGTTATCAGGATTGGAAAACATGACAAGTAATCATGAACCAACAGTTAGTTTTGTGAAATACAGAACAAAAAAGACTCTCCTACACTCCTGTGACGTCACACATTAGTATGGGATTACTATTAGAAATGAGATTTAGGTACAGTACAAGAAAATACTCAAACTTCAGTTGGCCTGTTAGGTAACAGTCCCTCTAGCCTAAGTTGTCGTGAAAGGAACCAACTTCAGTAGTTCTGTTACAAAATTCAAAAAATGCCATTTTGATTCTTATTTCCATTGCAAATGTAAGAAATTATAATTGCCTAATGAGTTAGTGTGGCTTTTGAAAAACTAGCTGTTATTCCTGCCTTATGAGAAAATTAGTTGAAGTGCCTGACTATTTAAAACAAAGCCAAAAAAGAGAATCTGACAAAAGTGAAAATGCTACTTATTTGCAAAATAAATAAAAAAAAAAAAAAAAAAAAAAAAAAAAAAAAAAAAAAAAAAATCCCCTTGATACTTCCAGCTTCTGTGGTTAATGGGAAGTTTGTTTTGCAGTGTGGCAAGGAGGTAGGTTTTAGAAAGGAGTGATTTGATGTTGCAAAGAAAACCAGAATAGGGTGATGCATTTCTTAAATTTTTAGGAAGAAATCTATCAGAAAAGCTTTGTGTGTATATWTTCACACACACACAAATATTTTTATGTTGTCATGATTATCTTCAGATAAATTTACTAAGTGAAACTATGCCAATGCTATAGGAAATGTTGTTTCTGCTTCCTCGGGCAGAGAGTTGTTATAGCCAGCACAATAGGTAGCCTGAGACACTTGGGATCCTGGGGTGGGATGGTACCTCACTGCAGCAGTATGATTCCTGATCCTTTTAGAATGAAGGAGTAAATAGAAAAATGTGATATCAATGAGATGTGGTTATGAATATATTACTTTAAAAAAAGTTACTTCCTCTCTTACTTAACTTGTTCATCTCCACTCTATGGAAGTGGGCCAGACCTTCGCCTTCCCTGGTGGGCCTGCCCTTAGCCTTCCCTGTGTAGTGCTGCTGCTTTCAAATTCGTGCTCAGACACATTAGTAGGAGTCAAATACCTTTGCAGTTGGCCGTTAGCAGCCACAGTTCATGTAACTCTCCAGCTGAACGTTCATTGATGCCTCTGGTTTTCTTTGAGCGTCCTGCGCCTCTGCTCGGTGTTGAGGCTGGAGAGCTCCTCTCACTGCTCATCCTCACTAATATTTTTGTGAACATCTTGACTGATTTTAGGAGCCACATTTTGAYCATGCTTTTCCCTCATTGCTGTTCTGATATCTCACACTTAGCGCCTTCCCTTTTCCCTTCTGCTTCCTTTCATTTTGTTTCAATGCATCTTTTTGMGTAGACTTTGGGATATGGTTTTTGTTTGTTTTTGTTAAGGTGCCCCCCCTTTTTTCTTTTTTTTTGCCAGATGGTAAGACTTGAGTAGGGTTTGAAATGAAGTGTCAGGTCCCTGTGTGCCGTGGCTGAGCAGGCGGGTTACTTCTGCTCGCTGACGGAGTTGCCAGGGCTCGGTGTGCTGTGCAGATATCCTCACCTGCCCCGCTCGTGTTTCTCTTTGGAGCAAATCTTGAGACCAGCACTGAACCCCGAATGCAAGATGCCGACCACCCTTTTTAACAGCACGGGCTCTTTTCTCAGAAGAGGGTTGGTGCTGACAGTCAGTGCTACCGTTCCCAGAACAAACACACAATATCTTTCTGTGAATCTCTGATATTTCTGTCCAGTCGGAATTCAGGAGCAGATCCCAGGTCTGAGATCCATGTGACATGCAAATTCCTCCGTTTTCTCTGTGTCCATCTCTGTGTCCATCTCACTCTGAATGCTTTGTTGTCCTGTAGGGAACATAAAGAAAATTGGAAGATCCAAGCTCTCAAAACTGACATTAAGGTCAGTTAAGAAAGACCTTTCCTTTTCAGAAAAATGGGGACAGGTCTTGTTTTTCCAGTCTGCCACTGGCATCCTGGCATTATTGCCTTAATCATCTCCTGTAGCTGTTGTGTTTATTGTATTTGCCAGCTATGATCTAAGAAGCATTGAACTGCTGGTAGACACAGTGTCGGGCTAAAGGGCTTTTCTGGGTRGTTGTCCTGGCCTGCGGATGTACCAGGATGAACTCGATGGCTCTAGTTCTGTCTTCAGTGGTTTTTCTTGTTGTCCAAGATTTCTGAGAATCCGTCATGGTTTTGAGGGTGGATTTTCCAGGGCATGGTGATGACTGACTGCATTTTGATCTTCACGTGCTGTTTAGCAGCCATCCAGCGCTGAGGTAAAGTCTTATAAAGAAAAACTTGCTATAGAAAGAATCTGCAAAATCGTGCCGATAATTGGCCAGAGAAAAAAGRCTAGGTGCTGATCTAAGTGAATTGCCTTTGCTTTGGTAGTGATGCAGGGTCACTCCAGGACCCCCCTGTTCCAGCTGTACTAGAAAACAATGTAGACGAGAAGTTCAGTGACTTCCTGAGAAGTCCTGAAATTTCATGAAAATGCATGTAATTGATACCCTTGCTATTAGTGGCAGGCTGCCATATGCTACCTGATGATGGTCCTGAAGCTGTAAGTATGTGATTGAAGTTTTTTTTTTTTTTTTTTCCCCCCCCACTTTAGGAGTCCCTAGGGACTCCCGAGCCTCATCACAAAGTCTGATAAATCCATTTAAAACAAATGCCCGTATTCATGCATCTGTCTATGAAGTTAATCTTCTGGTGGCATTTGTTTGGTCGGGAAGGCTTGAAAGTTTTGTGTGTTTGTATAATGGTTTGTTATGACTTGTGGCCATATCCCGAGTTTTTGTCTAGAGTGGAACAAAGTTTTAGAATAGCCATGAAATCCACCATGAAATCCACATTTTTATTCCCAAATTGTGCAAATGAAGAGTTCTTTTGTTTCCTCAGAACATGATATGTGAGCAGCTTAGGYTTGTTTCACTCCAATGATATTAGCTTGTACTTTTTAGTGTAGAAATTCACAGCGGTTTGTGCCCTTGATATTTCAAATATGGTGCTGATCTCCACACCGAGAGGCATGCCAAGTAAACTTCAGACTTTGTTTGCTCCGAAACTAAAAATGGTAGATCCACCAACAGTGATGAGAGCCCTAGACTACCTTGTAGCCCCTCTACTGAAATCTTTTATTCCAGATGTGCTGGTTGGCCCTCTTGATCAGGCTGATATTATTTCTCCAGCTGTTGTTCACACACACATCTCTGAGACCAGCCTGCAGGTGAACTAGCAACATGCACATGACAGACAGCAGAAAGAGAAGAGCTGTTTGTCACTTACATTTGTGGGTACAGGCACTTATTTATKTGTAGGTGTGATGTTTGGATCTCTTTTCTTCCCTCTCTCCCCTTATTAAGAGGCTTTAGCCTTTCTGCTTCTGCAGGTGGAAGGAGATCAAGAAACCAAACCAAATGTAGGGTGTGTGTATGCGTGGGGGCCACCTGTATGAAAATGTGAGCTTAGAGTATTTGGAGTGCACGTTCACCCCCAGTGCAATGTGCATATGGACAAAATGTCTTGAGGTAACTGCCAACAACTTCCCTTGCAYGTTCAGACCGAGAGGGCGACTTGCRCTTCCCAGGAGTTCCTTTAGGTCTGCAGGGCTACACAGAAAACTAGTGAAACCTTGACTTGCAACTGCAAAATCAGAGCATTGATYGGAATGCCTCATATGCTTCAGGAAGCTAACCTCTTGTTCTTCAATGGAAATAATTAGATTGGAGAATTGCCACCTTTATGGATTTATCAGGAACAACATCCTTTTGCTGCTTCTTTTACAGCCTTTTTTTTTTTTTTTTTTTGAAAAAGGAATGAACTTCCCAGGACTCAGTTATGTTTGCCTGCACGAGTTCCTCTTAGCCTAAGGAAAAACATGCACTCTGCTTTAGTCAACTATGAGTAAGATTCTTTTTTAACAAAGCTAGATCTGCTCTCAAAAATACTTATCTTTATTTAATAGTAGCAGAATTTATTTTAAACTACCATGCTATTGGCAGTGCTTATTTTCTTGCTTCTTGTTATCTTGCCTCACCTTTCACTGATTTTCATGGGTGTTTTTTCTTTTTTCGGTAAGATTATTGAAAACGCATATGTGGTCACGAGGAATAAAATATAAGTGTTTCAATGTGAGAATTTCTTGCTATTTTGTAATATATATATTTTATATTATATATTTATATATAAGCCACATTGCTGTGAGGATATATATATATATCATATATATGAGATACAGATATATGTATATCTCTTCATAGCAATGTGGCTTTGTGYAATTCTCTAGTTGCTGGACGGTGTTCAGGGGGTTACAACTTTCCAGATTCCAGTGAGTGATTTTTCCAGCTCCCACGTGAAGGTCATGGGATCAAAGCAGGCGCCTTTTCTGTTGKAGCTGTCGCCACCCCCCTAGCCTGTTCCTCCCACCCTGCCACCCGTTGCCATTTCATACAGAAGGGTTACACAGGGAACAAGGTGCATGTAGCAATCCATACACAGAGCYGTGAAATTATCTTCTTGCAGTGTTTTTACAGCTTTCAGAAAGAGATATGTTGCAGCTCTGCAGATTCTCTGTTGTTGATTGGTGTGTAAGGAGAAAAGCATATATATACACACACAGACACACATACATAAAAGTGCTCCCGCATCAATCACGTACAACTTATGGTTCGGGCATGTTGTTTCTGATAGTCCCTGCAGCAGGCAAAGTGGTTGCATCTTGCAGAAAGTGCCTGTGATTAAGCAGAAATGTTGTTGGTTTCTTTAGATGCATTGGGGAGAATTAAAAAAATAAGGCAAATACACCTAGAAGCTGAAATATTATACAGGGCTTTCCCCCCCCCCCCCCCCCCCCAGCAATGACCTGTGTATATTCTAAATAAGATAGAAAAGGAAGATAGCACAAGAATTCGCATCTCTTTTAACAACAATAAAAAATCACTAAAGTTTTAGTTCATTTAAATAAAAAGTGATGGAGATCTTTTTTTCTTACTTAATAGTATTTATATAAATACTTTAATAAATACAGCAATAATAGAATATGTATTATCTCATATGCAGAAGTAGTAATATAGTAGTAATAAAAGTTGTGTGGAATACATTGATTCAGTATTTATGAATACTGCATATTTTTATTTTGTGTCCCAAGAAATACACAATCTACTTACTTAGACCAAGTTTAGATGTTTGTATGAATGCTTACCTAAAATCGATATATTTAAAGATGTATTAATTTTTTTCTTTTCATTTTCCCCTAGGGCTTCATGTTTTCCCCACATTTGTAATATATGAACTCACAGTCTTACTCTTCCTTACACTCTCTGTGGTCATAATGAAGGTATTTTGTCTTTCTCATGTATTTTTTAATAGTCTAAATAATAATGCTACATGTCCTATTGAAACTTCTGTGCAAGGACGTTTGATATAGCAGAGAGGATATTACATCCTTATTGTACAACTGTCTTTTATATATAGAGTGAAGTTTGAAATATTCTTAGGATAAATTAAAGGATCATTTGTAATGTTAAAAAACCATTACATGTGGAGAAATATCTGTTTTTCTAGCTGTCGATTTCTGATAAAATTATTAAGTATCTTTATTATAGCAAGTTAGATATTTCCTTTATAATACACAGTATACTTTGTTTCTTTTGACCTTAAAGAATGCCTTTATATGCAAGACTACTGGTTTACTTTATAACCAGCCATTAATGTATCTGATGCAGTGAGTCGATTGTGCTATTTTATCTATTGCACTGTTCCAAAAACACACACACAACAACCAAGAAACAAAATGTTTTTGAAGTTTGTCTTGGCAGTGCTCGTCCTCTCCCTGATTCTCCCAAAGAGCAGCCAGTACATCAAATGGATCGTCTCGGCAGGGCTGGCACAAGTCAGTGAGTTCTCTTTCGTTCTGGGAAGCAGAGCACGCAGAGCAGGGATCATCTCTCGGGAGGTGAGTTATGGTGTTGAACTTTGGTTTTAGCACCCGAAWAACTTCATGGAATTTGATATTGCAGAGTTTGTGAAAGATCCTCCAATTTGTGGCATCTTTTAAATATCAACAAGTAGAACCAGCCCATGCAAACCACATAACTGGATATTTGGAGCACACATGTCCCTGACAGGCTTCCTAGTCCCATTCATTTTGCATTCTTTTTGCAGAAGCAACAACCTGCTTTTTCAGCAATCACAATCAAAACATTTTCAGCAGGAAAGAAAATACTAGGAAAGGATTCTTATAATTTAGTTTTATTTCCAAGCTATGAAAACTCTGTTTTCTCAAGATGAAGGCTGCTTTGCCAGTTGGGGCAGATTATGGCTTCAAAGACTTAACAACTGGTCTCACTTTCTAGTGCCAGCTGCTTCCTTCTCTGTACYTCGGAGCTTTTCAGCATGTGATGAGCAGTAGCCTGTGTAGTTGCTGGAACCAATTCCAGAAAAAGCAAGTGTGGAAAATTTACACACCAGTATTCACTGATACATAGTTAGGTGATTAATTTTCATGTTTACTCCTACATGTAGTTAGGACTTACAAATATAGTGGGTTTTTACAGAGTTTTAAGATACCTAACCATGTTTCATGTAGTTTACTGGGTTCTTGGATACCTTTAGCCCTTAGTCTTTCATTTTTTCCTGTTGCAATTCTTCTGTCACTAGTTTTATATAGCTCCGAAATTCCCAAAAATTGCTTTTCTGTTCCACACCTCAGAACTGCTTTTGTCAAATTTGCACTTTAAAACTTCTCTACTGCCATCACATAGGGCTGTTTCGGAAAATATAGTTAAGATCTTATTTCAGAAGATGTGCAGCAGTATGGAATTTTTTTTTTTTGTATAAGGTAGTGGTGCCTGTTTTCAATCTAGCATTAAACCATTCTCTTTTTCTCTACTTATATATATATATTTGTTATATGTATACATAAAATATTTAATTATTAAATGTTGTATGCATGTACATTGTATGTTTATATAGTGTATATATGTAGTGTGTGTATATAAATATATATAAAATATGAAGTGGTTCTTGGCCTTTGGTTCTTGCCTTTTAGTGCACTGTGACCTTTTAAAATTGACCTCTTATTAATGCATGCAGGTAATCATTTTTGTACCAAGTATTAAAGTTGTTCTTGCAATTGCGCGTTCAAAGCAGGTAAATGTATAATGACATGGTTTGTGTGTGCCCTTGCTCTGGTAACAGTGTGCACAGCTGGYGGGGACAACAGGCGAGGTCTCTTGGACTTACTGTCCAGAAAAACCTGTTCTCATCAACGCCCAGCTGTTCCCTAGCTCGGCCCCTAACCAGGAAGGGCAGTAATGACTTCCTTTCTGCTTCCATTTTCAGGTCTATCTCCTTATCTTGAGTGTGACAACTCTAAGCCTTCTGCTTGCCCCGGCCCTGTGGAGAGCTGCGATTATGAAGTGTGTTCCAAGACCTGAGCGACGCTCAAGTACCTGATAAGACTTGCTCGTGCACAGGAATACGTGTTTTTGCAAGGAGTATCTTCATTGCTCGTTGTATTCCTAGGCACTCCAAAAAGCAAGATGGTTTGAGTAGTCCTCTTAACATTTACTCAGTTAAAAGCCTTACACTGATATTTAAAAAAAAAAAAAAAAAAAAAAACAGCATTAAAAAATAGTGATCTGATATTTGAATTAAACATCTCTTGCAAAATTGACCTTCATCCTGGCAGATTCAAATGGGCCAGAACATTTGTTCTTAATCCAATCAAACATGCAGAGTAGAAATTATTTTTTTAAATACAGTTTCACGAAAATTGCGTTGAGTATTTTTTTGCCTGGATGTGCCTTTTAATTTTCATCTGGTTTTGTTACTATTTGTTCATCACCAGATATTTTTTAATATAATATATATATACATGCATATATATATTATATTATGGTGCCTATGGTATCTTCTTACACTATAAATGACTTGAGTCATTTTCACATTTAAGAGTTCAATACACTGCTATAAATTTGGTCACAAAACATTCCTAATGGTGAGTAAAAGTCTAATCCACTACACAAATAGAAGGTTTTATCTGGTTAGCATCAAACTACTTGAAACAGGAAATACTTATTCTAAATGGTACAGCTGATATTATGTGATACTTCAGTTTACCACATATCGTATATTTTCTCAAAGTGATAACTTTCATTTGTGTTACTTCTTCTATTTATTTACGTATTTGACCATGCTGACAATAAGAAAGGGCATAGCTTAAGTTATATTCGAAGACTGACAGTTGTTACCTGTTCTTGTTGCTAACTACTGTTATACTAATTGTTTACAGCTTTCTTTCTGTGTTTAAACTGAGAATAAAATTGGTAAAACTGGGAAGTCTAATTTCAAGCAGATGCAAAGATATTTTATCAGCTCTCTGACTCTGGAGGTTGGATAAAATGGACATTATTTTACCTTTGAAACTATTTTAATTAAATCTGCAGAAAACTGAAGAAAGCTGAGTAGAAGGGCATTGGGAACTCTACAAGTTGTACTTTGCATATACGTAAGCCTTGTAAAACAAAGAAACAGTTCTTTACATGTCATAGAGCTTATTCACTGTAGCCTCCTCTGACAAACAAGATGGGTTTCTTTTGGAGTTTTATGTTTACAGCAATGCTATTAAAGCTTTATTAACAGCTTTGGTCAGTATTATCCTGTAATATAACATATAGAATAACTTCGGTATGCACACAACGATTAGAACAGTGGGTGCTATAGACTTAAATTGCCAGTTACAATGAGAGAAGCTATCCTGGGAGCAGTGGAGCGACCTGGGGCTGTTTCCCAGGGGCTCCATAGGTCTCAAAGCTCCTTCCCCTGCCAATGTGGCCTCACTGTGCTCCTCTGTTCCATCTGACATCTGCTGGGCTTGGCAAAACACGGTTTGGGCTGGCCTAGAGCTCGCGCTAGGCCCTTAGGCCCGTGCGAGGCCGGGTGCCTCACAGTCCAGTTYTTCACTGGGTTTCCTTTCCTGGCACCGCCTCAGAAAAGGCGCAGCTCTGCGGGACAGCTCCACCTCTGCTTGAATGGTTTCAGAAGGTTTATTTGGGGAAAAGTGACAAATATCAATAAAAACCTATCAAATAAATGAAATCATTTGGTTAAAAAAAGTCTTTACCAGAAAATTAATTTGAAAACTGCTCTATTTGTTTATTTCAATGATTAGTAATCAAGTTGTAGAAGCAAATCAACAGCTTTGTTGTACAGTTTAGCTTAATAATCTACAGTCTCAAACCTTTTATTTTGCCTCAGCCACCTCATTAAAATAATTCATTTCTATTTCTTGATTATAGGAGGGAGAGAGAATTTATCCTGATTCAGAGTCAGGCCTCCCTTCTGGAAACAGAAGTTCTATTCTCTCCTTAATTGCCTCATCTTGGTTTTGAAAGACATGCATCTTGCACGTACTGTTTGCTGCCACAATCATATCACCTAGGCTTCAGAAGAAAACAGTCTTAATTGAGGCCCCCTCACATTGGCTTATTTCATTCCTCATATATTCTTAGAGCTGACCATGGTAGAGACTTTTGTGTGGTTTCTATTATGTCAAGATGAAAATCTTAGGCTGGTAATAAGAGACCTTATTCCTTGAAGGTCTGACTTGTCTGTAGGTAAAATGGGAAGATTGTTTAACAGTYTGACTGCATTTAGGTGCAGTTGCAGCTTGGCAGGGAAGTTTTAAGGAGATAAAAAATAAATCAAAGACCCAGAATCCCTGAAAAGAGCATCCAGTGGTTTTATAGAGAGATTTTTTGAAGAATAGGTGGTCTTTTCTAGAAACTTTGTTTGGGCCTATTGGCTGATACCTCTCTCCTCCTTTTAGCTCCTGGTCAGCGTTGTTTGAATTCAGAACAGCTGATGGAGGGCAGAGCCTTTGTCTTTGCTGGTAATGAGCGGCTCTTTCTGTGGCGAAAGTAGAAAGCAAGCAGAAAGGAAGGGCCTGTTGAGTGTGTGAGCAGCAATTTGTTTAGCATGCCTGATTTGTTTATAACTTATTTAAGGGCAGGTGARTGTAACCGGTTGCTTGCTCAGTGGGTGTCTCGGTTTTCCCCAGCAGCAAGTTGCAGTCTGAGACAGTGGAGGTCTCGAGCATCCACCCTTGATTGCTGCTTTCAGTCGTTGCTGCCTGTGAAGGAGAAGGAACCCAACAATCTAAGAGCTCATTGTGTGGCCTGTGCCTTCCCTCGATTCCTTTCCCTGTTCCCACAGGCAGAGTGGAGTATGTTGGCTTACAGCTCCCCTACTTGCAGTTCACTCTATCCAAAACAGCCTGCGCTTCAGTTTCTCAGAACCAAATCCCTAGTGTGAGGTGGGAGGTCAGTTTTTGGCAGTTGTCACTTGTGTGGGCTTAGGATTGCTCAGGAAATGTTGCCATAATGGAATGGCATAATCCATGGAACTTCCATGATTTTTTCAAAGCTTTAAGAGTTCTTGTATCTGTAATTGCTAAAGGTGATGAGAAAGCATTTTCATGGTTCCTTTTTTTGAAGCAGTTGAATTCGCTGTGCTTTATGGACAGGCCAGGGTGTGTGTTGGCCATGGGGATGCAGCACAGAGGAGCAGGGATGTACGGGAAGGCTTTGTGGAGCCTGGCTGGCTGTTGGACTGAGCCCATACCAGCACTGAATGGCTCCTGGGTTTTGCCTAGGGAAGGAGCATGTGCTGCCTGCAAAGCAGTCGGGGTGACGCGCGAGCACCGGGGCAGGGCTGGAGATGGAGGATCTGGACCACCGAGCGCCACGGGGCCAGTGGTGCTTGTACSCTAGGTGCTGGAGATGGCAGCAGCTTAGGAACAGCAGCGATTCTGAGGAACCCACCGCTGTGACACCGACCTGTGGGAGGAAGCGAGAGGGGAACRTGAAGGAAGAGCAGCAGGACGTGCTGTGGCGGGGAGAGGTGCAGCCCCTCGCCCAGAAGGAGCCAACGGCAGAGCAGGACGGCGAGGGCCTTCACTGGAGAGCCCAGCAGGCAGAGGCTTCCTCGGCTCTCCAGCTGCCTCCAGGCATCAAGGTCACGGATGCTGACCATGGGTGAGCTAACCTCCTGAACTCRTTTTTTTCTGTTTCTCTGTCTCTTACATGTCATGCCACAGTGCCATGGCTTGAAGGTGTCATCTCTTCTCCTTTTGAAGCCCTTTTAAAAGGAGGGACAGGCCCCAGAAGACAGTCATCGATAGTGGTAGCTTTCTGCTGCTCCAAATTCGAAATAAGCCCTAAAGCTCCAAAAACACCCAAAAAAAGACCAAAAAAAAAAAAAAAAAAA